GTGCAATGTCTACGCTACCGATACTGGTTTGTATATCCACTTCGGTCTCAAAAAATAACAATGGCCCACCAAAACACCAAAGAAACCCATGCCACGAGACGTTACCGTGACAAACTAATATATTTTCAAACTTTGCAGCAACGAGCTGCGTACGTGTAAAAGGCACGTCCCACACCACGCTGTTCAACTTTGTAGGTGGGGGTTAACTGAGCGTAGGGTCTTTGAGCACCGGTGCCTCTTCCAGCGGACGGCTTTGCAGGCACAGGGGGTCAGAGGCTGGGTCTGCGCACTCTCCCTCTTCTCATGTTCGAAAATTTGATCCTGCAAGTCTGACTGTAGAGGCTGAAGTCAACGTCACCAGTCTGCAAGTTGCTTCTGTAAAGCCACTGATGCAAAATTAGGGAAAAGCCAGAGTTACAAAGCTCTTCTCCAGACCAGTGTCACAGAAAGAACTTGCTTTGTAGCGGATGCTCAGAGTTATCTGGAAAGCTGCTCTGAACAACTTTATTGCCGGACGTTTCGGTACGCCATCACTCCGGCGGAGCCCAGGGCTGCCCATGCCTTCCTGATGACGCCGGGCACGCTTCCTCTGACCTGAATTCTCCAGATCAGTGTCACAGAAAGAACTCGCTTTGTAGCAGATGCTCAGTTATCTGGAAAGCTGCTCTGAACAACTTTATTGCCGGACATTTCGGTACGCCATCACTCCGGCGGAGCCCAGGGCTGCCCATGCCTTCCTGATGACGCCGGGCACGCTTCCTCTGACCTGAATAAACCAGACCTGCAAATGGCACCGTATCCCCAGCCACAAGTAAAACTCAGCTTCCCCAAACGCAGCTTCCTAGTTGGGGCAGAAGGGCCAGGCAGTCCTTACGGCTTCTAGACCCGAATGCCCTCAGGTCCAGCCCAGCTTCATCTGCTCCTCCCATGCCTGGTCCCTAGGGCAGCCAAACTACCCCTCTCCATTCCACCCGCGTCCGCTGATATTCTCCGTGTCGCTGGTACCGGCCAGGTGACTGCCTGCACTGTAAGGCGTCAGCGACGTCGAGCAGTAAGATGAGTTGCTCGAAAGCCTTCATAAAATTGTAAGCAGATAGTTTAGACATTTCTATGAGAGGAGAAGGCTTTATTGTGACGAGACTGACAGTCTCTGTGAAGGGTATTTACAGCCTGACTCTTATTACTAAAAACACCGTGACAGGTAGAACTTGATGTGGATGTATAATGGGGAGACGATGGGAAATTATGACAACAGGAGCTCATTGAACATTTCACTTTTTTAGAACAGTTAATTTCACATACAGAACCATGATTTCTATGTGGAGCGTTACCACTTAACACAAGCTCTTTGGGGTAAGCTTGCTTTCTTTGTCTGGCTTGATGTCTGTTCTCAGTGAATGGAGGAGAATTGGTCTAAGAAAGGAGCAGAGAGAAAACAGGGACGAACAGAGTTAAGTGTGGCTTGATACAGAGGAAGGGAGAGATACTGGGAGGATACTGGATATCATGAAAAGTGTGTGTTTGGAGCTGAGCTGCAGGCCCAGCAGAGGAAATCTACAGGAGAGTAGGATTAGCTGGGAAGGGATGCAGCAAAGAGATGGGGAAATAACAAGAATTTTGTTGAGTAAGTAATCTCATCCCACTGTCAGAGCAGTGATTTGGCAACCAGCCACCACTCATAATTGAGTTCAGTGGGTACGTTCAAATTCGGAGATCCGAGACTCATTCCCTTCCATCTCATCTGCACCGTATTTACGTTACGTGGTACCAGAGATCATGAGGAGTCACACGATGAAGTACTTTGACACCTTCTGACAAACGGCCTTGCACAACGGCACAGCCTTGTGCAAGTACATCGGCTATCTCAAATGCATATACCATGTTGAACCCTTCTGTGGGTGACACTGCCACGAGGATGCTTCACACCTTCAGCCACAACAGGATCCCATATGCACAGAGAAATATCTGCCCAAACAGTTCTGGTTTCTTAGGAAGCCTACGTTATTGAAAAATCAGTATGAATTACACTTCCCAGTTTCAAAGCAGCCTTCGAAAAAAGGATTCTGGCTTTTCGTTTCTGCAGTGTGGCAGATCTCACCCCACCTAAGCCTAACTATTTAGAAGTTATCATACCTGCAAGTCATTTAAAGTTCCTCTGCAGCACGAAAGAACAACATCCAGACATACATTTATCTCCACCTGCAAGGGACACCTCACACAGACAGGAAGAATTTCCCCGTGAAGCGGCTATTTCTCTCCACTGGCTACAGAGAATCAAGGGTGGAGGGCACCTAGATGACTACTTCGATATCCCTCACTTCTACGTGCGGAGACTAGAGATAACTTGCCTGAGAACACACCGGAGGAAAACAATCCCAAGGTGGAAAAACTGATCTCTGTCCAGGGAACGTGGGCAATTCAGGCTGAAGTCAAGCAAAATTTGCTGCGTTTTTATTAAGTGTTACATTTCTTGTTGGGAGAGAGAATTCACGGTGCCTAAAACCTATGAGGAGCTAAAAAAAAGCTTCTTTATTCATCAATTAGGAAATTAATGAAAGCACCATCACCTAATAAAGAAAGTGTCCTTATATGTTTAAACCAGGTACATGAGCTAGATTATTTGCCCTCAGATTGAATTTTAGAGGTTTATATAACAATGACGGCTATAAAATGAAAAAAAAAAAAAAAAAAAAAAATTATGGCAAGTGTCTCAATGACAGTCAGTCTCAGATGTGGAATGGTGAGCAATAAATCAGATGGGCAGTGGAATATTAAATTGCTGATTTTAAGAGCTATTGCTGCTTTTCTTTTCTTTTTTTAATACATACTGATAAAAAGGTGAAACAAAATCTCACCTATGTATTTCTTCATCTCATATCTTCATTTCTTCCTCTGTTTTTTTGTCTGTTTTTCTTCATAAATTAAAGTACATGACTTGTTTGGAGAAAAAGCTCTAATCGTTTTAAATTTAACCGTGAAATGGCAAAAAAAAAAAATCTGCAACCAGCTTCATGGAGATGACAGATTAAATATATTTGATGATTACAGAGTAGGTTCCACATGCCCCGTATCTCCCAGTCATGCTCTTTACCAGGACAGTCTAATACTAAAGTGTCTGCAGATGTGACTGCAAGTGTACTGTACACCCAGTCATACTGCAACGACCTAAATTATGGACTATACCCAGAGTAAATTTGAAATGTCGCTGAAGGAATAATAAAAAAGTCGCAGGAAATGTAGAGCAGAAAATTTGTAACACTGAACTATATGAGAAATGAGTGAAAAAACCTACAGCTATTGCTTGTCTGCAAATACCTTAATTAGTTATGCAATGTGAGTTATTTTACTAGATTTTCCCAGGCAACACAATGATGCCTCCCTCTTCCCAGTGGTTTATCATGAAATATTTATGGCAAGTTTTGTTTGTTTGTGCAAACCACAGAAGTGTCACCATTCAGGCCCCCATCCAGCCCCCCCACCCCTCCCCAGCATTCATCTTTTTTATTCGGCATCTCAGGCTCCGTGCTCAGCCCAAGCTGTGCAAGTTACCACATCCTTATGTTAAAGGAGTCTCTCTCCCCCTTGAATACAGGCATTTTTCCCATGCTTACAGCAGACTGAAATTCCTGACCTTTTCCGTTGGTTTTCTCCATTCTCACACAAATCCTCCGAAATACTAATTTTCCATGTAATGAACACAAGTGAACAATTTCTCGAGGCACTTACAGCATACATATATATTAAGCAGTATAACCCACCCTTCAGCAAATGCATGCCTTGTTGCTAAGGCATGTCTCACTCCACTTCTCCTCTCAACCACTGGATACCATTGCTTGTGCATTCTGGGGATAAATGTTTCACCTCTTCAAAATGCTACTACACAGGAGGGGAATGGTGCCATTTGGATATAACAGCATATTATCCCTATTTTTGAATAGAGTCAACTGTTCATGCAAGGCACAGGACAGAAAGAATTAAGTTGACAGTCTGTATTGACCCGTAGCCTCTTGTATACTTGGAGCACTACAGAAATAATACATAGCAATATTAGAAGGAACTCTAATTGCTGATTACAGCCCGTAATAACCAGGAAATAAATGCGATACATAGAACAAGGGTTCTGCCATTCAGGAATTTGCTGAGTGAGGTCTTTTTGTACGCTTAATTTTGCTGTAGTTCCTTTCAGAGTTTCCCACAGCTGTTTAAACCAATGGTAATTACACATACCTCTGTCCTAAAACTCTACAGCTCTTACCAAGCTACCAGAGAAGTTGGTTTCATTGGAAGAATAATTGCCTTTCTGTGGTGTATGTTAGGTTTGTTTTTTCCCAAATAACGGAAGAGTAATTTTAATGCAAATTCCCATTGTTTTGGGGGTAACATTTGATTTGAAGCTCCTTATGCAATCTTTACCTATCAGCACACTCTATTCACCGGGAAGTCTTTTGAGAGGTGTAGACATTGTAGTCGCAGAAAATCACTGTAGAGGTCACAGACAATGTTCTGACATACCTTTTCTTAATGCTACTTCTCTCGACCCACACTCTATTCAGACCTGGCCTCCCCCACTGTCCTACTAACCCAAGCTGTAAGGAGCACAATATACAAAGTACGGCTCTGACAGAGCACACGGGAGAAAATGCAGCCCATGCTCACTCAGAGTGATAAACCGCGTACACCAATAGAGGAACCCTCTTAATCCAGGCAGCAACGACTCAGGTGTTGACACGCAGAAGGCTCACTGTCGACTCTTAACCACAGATAACACATTTATAAATGGTGACTTTCATAAGAATGAGTTGGAAAAGACAGACAGGAGACTTAAGTAATGAATGAGATGGATAAGTGACATTACAACCCTGGTTACTCTGAACCAAGCCAATCAACCCATAACACATCACTGATAAAATTCCCCTCACAAGGAACGTAACATATCTTACATACAACATCAAAAACAAAGAAACACACCTTCACTGCATATAAATAGGGAAGATACTTACACTTACAGGTTGACTTTTTGGCACATCATAAACACCCTCCTTCTTTTGGCTGGTAGGAACCTGCAACAGCAAATGAAAACTGAGGTCATAAACAGGAAAAAACATCAAAAAATTGAAATCTGCAACTGTACAGGATAGTAATTTAATCCTAATGAATCAAGGATGGTTCCCTTTTCATTTAAGCAGTAACATTAATGGAGACAATACTGAAGAAATCAAACATCCTTATGAATTTTTTAAATCCTAAAGCCGAGTAGCGTTCAGAAATGAGATCTTCATTCTCAGTTAAGTTTGGTTGCATTAAGTCCAGGTGCACTTGGATCTCCTTCCTACTTAAATAGTTGTTTTTTTCATTTTACTTGGGGGTTGGAAGACGGACACGTAAATCATGATCAGGTCAGTATGTCATCTTCCTCCACAGCAGAGATCCAGAGCAGAGTTACCGATCTGAGGGAAAGAGACGTTTGGCCTATGGCGTTAGATTTCTTCCTTCCAATTCATTTAACCCCTGCAGTGACGGGGCCCTGCAGCTGCTCTAAGCGATGTTTGGTTACAATGCTGCAATGTCACTACGGAGGTACCAGCCTGTCAGGGTGTGAGCCTGCATGATCACTCACACAGCCCGGGAGCTGAAGTCAACAGCCTCGCATGGACAGGGGATGACACACCTAAAAATTCTGGGCAAGTATTTAGTTGAGTCAACAGTCGTGATTTACACCTTGGGCATTTATAGCCTACTCAGGTAAACTCAGTCACTTTGTAATACTGGGCTTTGCTTGCCTAAGGGCTGTTGATTTACATATTTCTAACTTGTGGTTAAATTTCTTTTCCTTCTTAGAAGCACTGAACAGCTATTGTAGATGACACAAGCAAAAAGAACAATAAAAACATGCTCTAAACAGACACGAATGCTTCAAGTGAATCAGTGCTACTTCTCCACCGAACAAGGGCGTTCAGCAGAAGAAGGTTACATTCCAGACACTAATGCAACCTCGCAGGTCAATAGGAGAAATAGCATTGCAGGTATGACAAAATGATTACCTTTTTGTTTGACAATAAATATCTTAAGAGTTCTAGTGTTAGAGTAGGACTGGTTTAGCGGAAGCTGAAGGAATGTTACTTATTCATTGAGATGTGCTATTGTTTCTTATTCTGTATAATATTTAAAAAACTCTCTCCACTGTTCACACATTCTCTCGCCTATGTTTAAACATCAAAGTCTTTATGGGAAACGGTGCATCTTCTCATTGCAGAAGTTTCTCAAGAGCATGAGCACAGAACCGTCAGAAACTGAACAAGCTTTTTAAAAGATCTATTCTATTCCTACCCCTGAATGACTTGCTTGCCTTGGTTTTCTCAAAGTACTGGCCACTTCCACTAAAACCACCTATCACATTAGATATGTGAAACTGGTAAGAGTGGAACAATTCAATTTCATGGAAATAACATGTCTCTGTAAAGAAAGAGAGCTTTAAGTGACAGTGTAAGAGCAGAAACCAATAATGGTCTATTTAGAGGTCACTGCAAAGCTTAGTCTTTGTAAAAAGAGGACAAATGTGGTAAGATAAACTGTAAACTATCATCAGGGTGCACTTTTTTCTCTCTGGGAAGGTTCCCCATCAGTCATTCTCCTCTTCCTCCCTGCAACTTTTCCACGAAGTCATCCCCGTTTGCACACCTCTATCCACAGCTTATTGTGGAAGGAGCATTTCCCTGCTCTATCGATCCCTCCTTTTTTACTCCAGCTTATAATTATGTTAGAGAAAAGCTCCTGACTTCTAATATCAAGACAGAGAAACTTTTCTGAAAGACATTCTTCTCTCCCAACTTGGTATTGCCTGTCTTCCTGTTGTCTTTGCTTGCCACGTATCATCACGCTTTTTTGCATCGCTACTTAGACTGGGTGTCTGCAAGGGATTTGTCCTGTTTTTTGTTTGAATAGCTGTATCAGCAAAGAAGTCCCAGCACTACTGCTGCTGACGGCTCTGGCTCTGTGACAGGCTGTGAACCATTTTGACGTACTTGCATCTTACCAGCAACATAAGCACCGCAACTCAGAAACCCCCATCTGAGGTTGTCAACTCCTGATGGAGCTGAACTTGCCTCTCGGTAGAGACCAATGCTGCTACATTCACAATACAAAGCCACCTAACAAAACCCCATCCCCACCTCACTACCTTAAAACAATGGACAGGCAAAGAGATGCCATTAAGAAATCCAACATTAGGCGAGAGGATTGGTACACGCTCAGTGACCAAAGCCTTGCATAACTAACACATTAGAGCAACTTAAATAGACAGACAATATTAAAAGAGCAGACACAGACAGTCTTTGGGGTAATGTATCAAAGAAAGGCGACAGACAGAGGAAGAATGCTTAAAAAGGAAATTCTGACCTCTATCATGTTAAAAAGAAAAATAAATTGTCACTTTCAGCACGTATCTTCCATCTTCAGTTACGCATTGGGTAGGAATCTTTTCTACCAAGGGAGAAATGGACTCTTTGCCCATCAGCTCTTGGTTGAAAAAAACAGAGCAGCACCAGAAGAAAGAAGATTTGGCGAGGCTGAAGCGAGGCTGGCATGAGTTTGTTGAGCAGACACATGTTTACTGAAGTGTAGTGTGGGGAAGGTTTTGTAGTAAATAATAGAAGCTGGCACCAATTTGCATCAAACTAAAAAAACCCACCAAACATACAACCCAAAAAAGAAGAGAAGACCTTTTCCAATTTCATTTTTAATAGTAGCCTGGATGCTTCTGAGATCATCAAGATCTTGTAAGAGAAACAATTCTGCTAGTGATCCAAGTGTAAGATCTGAGTTGTAGGAACCCAGATTTATAGCAAGCCAAGAGCTAAAGAAGTCCACGGGACCTAGGAAGCTCGTGGCTCTGGGCACGTCTACAGCAGCAACCCTTCAGCATCTGCCAACTGCCATAGATAACAGAAAAAGACTCACAGCTCCCTAATCTCAGCATTTACTGAATTCAGTACAGGTTGCGGGTAGTAAATACAGAGAAGGACAATGCTAGACTGCACGTACTAAGAGTACAGTATATTATGTATCACAGGTATTTTCTGTGTGTCACTGTGAGAATAAAAACTTCATCACATCCAGGCACTGTCATGAAGCCTTGAGAAATTTTCTGGTGAATTCCGGGACAGTAAGAGCAGTACCGCGAGATGAGGCAAGGCCTCACTATCTCCTTATCACCTTCGATTTCCATTTTAAGAAAATGTCCAGAGAATCCTCCTGGTTTTTAGGCCATTCCTCCGAACACAGTTCCTACTTCTTCCCTACCTACCAGTTTGCTCTAAGATCTCCAAACACGGGGAGCGATGACCCCGTTTTGCTTGCTTCCACCGGTACTCCTCCCCAGCGTCACCGAAAGCTTCGCACTTGGATGAACAACAATCAGAATTTTTTTCTCTGAATGTAGTTGTCATGGGATTTTTGTTTCTAGCATAAAACTGACAACTAGAGTAGTAATTTATTAACAAACTGCTTTCCTGAAAATAGTCAAACTTTCAACACTATGCAGTAGAAAATTTTCATCCTTAGGCATACTCTCACCTTGAGAGCTTTGCATGTCTTGATCTAGATATGCAGAAAGATGCTTATTCCAGTCTGTGTGGCAGGGTGCCAGGAAATCAACAGTTAAATGAATCTCATCTTAATGACCCTGTGATGGAGTCTAGAAGATAGTTATTTTCTAATGTTTAACTTGCATTTCCCTTTCCCACTTAGCTTCTTTCTAGTTTGGCTTACAGCTACTCTACCCTTGCATTTTTTCTATTATCTTCCTACCTCTTCTCATTACTTAAAAAAATACCTTTCCCTTTTTTCTTTGTGTTCTATCCCTGCTACTTGTCCACCTTAAAAAAGCTTTTCCTATTAGCAGTTCAACGTCTAGTACAGCTAGAGGAAATGCTTAATCACTGCTTGAATCTCCTTCCCCTCCATACAAATCACAATTTTCTTACAGCATACAGAGATTTCTGTCTATCTCCAGATTTGCCTCTAGTATGTGATACAAAATGAATTACATTATATTTTAATAAACCCTGTGCTGATCCCTTGAGGATAAACTGAACGACAAAAGATTATTTTATATTGTTTTCAACGCAATTTTTTGTCAGTGTGAAGAACATAAGCTTGGGCTCTAAGACAACGCATGCACTCTGAAAATATTTTCCCCAGTCTGGGAGATATCTGTTGAGAGGTCAGTTTTGGTTTTGCTCGGTTATTTCCTTGGTTAAACTCGAAAGAAGAGCAGTACCATCAAAATGTGAACTGCTTGAATGGTCTGCCCTCTATCAGATTTCAGCATCCATTTCTTAGAACAGGTGTAAAAAGTGTCAAAAAATTAACAGAAAAAAGGAGCATCCACTATTTACCACCTTATATGGTGTACTCAAAAGTTTAAGACCCTTCATATGTTGACAAAGTTAATAAAATTTGCAGAAGCTGAAATGACAAACAACATAAAAATCACAGAGACCGGCAGATTATTCATGTCATGTCATCAGAATGAAATGCCAGACATTTTTGTCATGAATGAAACTAAGAAAAGCGAACTATATATGAAATGTATTTTACTAAATGCTTGCAATCGTTGCAATGAAAACACCGAAGTTAGCGATTTTATACCTGATAAATGTTTTCTTCCGTTTCAGGCTCACGGATTGGCTCGTGTCCAGCCTCAAACACAATGTACTATTACACCAGCCGCCAGAGAGGAAAAGTCAAAAGATGAAACAGAAGGGAAAAAGGCGATTTGGAATTCCACGTAAAAACACAGGCAGGCATTAAAGAAACAAGTTCAAAGTACAGGCTGGCAGCAGGACAACCGGGTTGTTGGAAAGCGCCGAGTAAGGTTGTTTCATATTTCATAAACTGGCAATGAATAGACCTAAATCTCCTCTAATGATCATTAGAGCAACTTCCTAATTCCTTCTCACTAGGGAGACCGCCTATGGCTCAATATTAATTTTCTGAAGTCAACGTGAATTTTGCCTCTTTTACATAATGGCAATTATTTCCACATATATTTATTATCTATGAATAAAAAAGCTAAATCCAAACTGGAAGAATAGGCTGGTGCTCATGTAAATGGCCACATGGCAAAAGGCTGTCACAACACTTTTCATTTTCAGGTTCTTGCTTTATTGTGAGGAGCACAAAGTAAAACTCCTGACATTATAAAAGCTGAATAGTAATTTAGGGCGTCCTAATTCTTATCATCTTTCCTGATGCACCTTAGGCACTGTTCAATGATCACTAATGGTTGAATCGGTTTCTTTCAGCGTGCCTCCCACTGACATGCCTTAAGTGGAAGAACATGAAATCTCCAGGGGAAAAAAAGTAAGCTATCATATATTTTGTTTCAGCACAAAAACATGAGAATGAAACGACATCTTTTTCTTCTCACACTCAGTAGGGTATCAGACATGAATATATTGACGTATTTCTGATAATCATCTTTACCCCCAGACATTTTGCTTCGACGACTTAAATTTCAGCCCTATTATTAAATCATAACCCAAACACCAACAAGGGAGTGTGTTATAACATGAATTCCACTGTTGTTTTTTTCCAAATATTCACCCTCTGAATTAAATTCTGGCCCCACAGAAGTCAAAACATCAATTTATTACTACTAGCACAACATGTCACCTTCCTTATTCTCAAAGTAACTCTCTTTTCAGTTAGAGTTTGTATTAAAAATTACGACAAATCTCACTTGGGAAACTTAAATTCTGGACTCACAAGCCATATTTTAGGAAATGTTGCATCTAATTCTAATTGCATCTAAATTGTGCTATTACTTACAGCTTAATCTCTAAATAGCCTACTTTCTTCACAAGTTTCTCAGAAGACCTATCTCAGCAAATTTCAAAACATCGTGTTAAAGGTTCTGGCTGTGTTTGAAGATAACATACATCTAGCCATTTTCTGAAACTCCAAGGCCACACAGCTTCAGAAATTACCTGGTATACAGGATCTTCTACATCTTCTTCCAAAATTGTCTACAGCAAAGTAAGAGGACAGGCAGTAAAAGCAAAGAACATAAACAGTAGAGATAAAAGAACTGTATTCAGAAATTAAAGGACAGCAAAGAAATAAGCAAAATGGGCAGGTAAGTATATAGTTTTTGTTCTTTAGTATATAGATAAAGTCACATCATTGTACAAAGTAACTTTATTCAAGTTCCCGAGTTTAACAATCCGCACCTTATTTGATTTGATTCAAATACACACATTTAGAAGTATACTGAATCTCCCCTAAAGTATTAGACGCTGTTAAAAAACTGACAACACACTGACCTTCATCAAAGTTTTCCTCCTGAATTAGAAGAAACACTACATGGGAAATGAACAGATCATTTCCAGTTGCTAGACTTGTTATATCATAGCTCAAGGGATAGCTTTCATCACTGCTTAATCCTACTTCTGAGCTCACGATGGCCGTTCGGTTTGTATTTGTCCATTTGAAGCCAGCAACGTTCAAACCCATTGCTGTTAGGAAATACTGAGGCTGCTCAGGGCCTCTTTGGAGCAACTTTGGGGGATACTTCAAACCGTACTTTTCTTGGCAGTAGCCAAAGCTTATGTGTGTACCTGGTATACCGCTTGTTCACACTGTTTGTCCTTTTGTGCCTTTTTTTCCATTTCTTCCCTTTGTTTCAGTTCATAGATGAGCTGAAACAGGTCTCGCAAGTCCAGAATTACAGGTTCAGCCTACGGAAGCAAAAACAGGAAGAAGGGTTTCTATATGGGAAAATACCTTATCCCATCCTGCTGACAGAGCAGCTACAGCATCTCCACAATGGGAGAGAACTTCATACAGAGTTAATTTCTACCTTAGCATCCAGGCTGGGGTTAATTTCTATCAAACTAACTATATTTGCAACTTAATTATTATTATAACGATAATTATGGCTATAACATGCATTATGAATATACAAGGTATATATAGGAATACAAAAGTATATTTATTAGTGGTTTCTCATACAATGAAATTATGGTAGACTATATGCAAAGTAGCTATTTGGTATCTATTACTTTCTGTTTAGATGAGTATAGGACTGTAACCAAATGTATCTGTATCCAGCCTAGTTTAGTTGCAAAGGAAAACAGTAACTAATTATGAAAAACACATCACGAAAAACTAGAAATAGTGAAACACGTTCCTTTTTTCCCAAGCTGGTTTCATTAATTTGCTATTTAAGAACATCTAAGCAGACACTTGTGACATATCTAGCACAATCATGAACAGTAGAAGATTGGCCTCTTGAAGAGCTTCTTACGAACACACCTTTTCTGTTGAGTTACACTGCAGAAAATGACAGCGATCTGATACTTACTGCTTGGGCTGTTTTTATTGCCACAAATCTATGATTTCCCTCCTTTCCACATACATATCCAAACGCTCGATGGTCTGTGATATCCTTTGCGATGTATGAAATTTCATGAACTGCATGGTGGTGCTGTAGTAGCTATTAAAAAAAACACAACACAGCAAGAAATAGCCATCAAAATGTTCCATTAAAACGCTGTATAATTTATCTTTCATTTCTCTGCTTTACCTGGATCTCGGTACACCTGTGGAATTAAACTAAACGTAAAAGACCAGGTATCAAAATCAATTAGTATCTGAATTCTTTAAGCTCTTTTCAAAATCTAGCCAAACTTGACTTGCTTTAATAATTTGACTAAAAGCTGCAATAGAGTATTTTTCTTGGTATCTTTTGGCGAGATGTAATTCAACAGAAAATATCACGTTTATCTAGCTATCACCTACACAGCATCCTAGGTACAGAATCAATGTTTGCAGGTATATAAAAGAAGCAGCAGCAGCCACCTGTAGCTTCATACAGGGCGAGCCTGTGGACAACGTGATCTGCAGGGGCTGCAGAGCTAGAGCTGAGATTTCCAATTTCTCTAAGAATCGGCACCAGACTTGCTTCATCTCTGCCACACTCCGCATCAGCCAGCAAATGTATTTCATTTAAAGCAGCAACCGAACTCCAAAAATTTGTTTTTACCAGAAAATTCATGGAAATGCAATTAGCCAACTTGAAATCAATGTTAAATGCAAAAGTTCACATTTTATTTAAAAACCCGCTTTGGTTAATTGTAATAATAAAAAGACTCATTTTGTTCTAAATGTATGAGTAAAACTCTCCCCAGAACCAGGACATGAATCTGAAACTCCTATAAGCATGTGTCAGAGTGCCAGCATCTTCCTTGCTTCGGCCTAAATAGTATTTGATTACCGAAGTAATACTTAAGTATTTCTACTTAGAATAGTGTCCTTGAAAAGTTTATCTGAAACAATCTTTTAGTGTGAATTTCTACCTTCTGATACATTGACCTGCTCTTATATCCTCTAGGGATAATGCTATTTCTGAGAGCAGGCGAAGCCTCAAAAATTCTTTCGAGGTCCAGACTCCTGCTGGTTTTGAGAAAAGCACATTTCGAAAATCAGCGTGATATCCAGGCAATCTCTAAACAACCAGTTAGAGTTAAAAAAAACCCCAAACATTTTAAAATTCAAAACTGGAGAGGATCCATGTGTGTGTGGAAGAGAAAAGGCTGAGCAAGTGCAGGGCAAGTGACAAGCGATGAGACTTCAGTAGAACACGGATTGAAATTTAAAAGGAGATGCAGCATGCAAGAGACAGATGACTACATATAAAACAAAAGACTGGACATTTTTCATTTTCATCTCACAGTAAATGACTTCGAACTTCCCAAGATCAAGATTGTTTGCTCATAAGGAAAATGGAAGTGTTGCCATTGACTTCAGGCTGAACGTGGCTAAGCTGAAGGTACGCTTCAGACTCCCCCAACGCGTTAAGCATTTAAAATTAATGATGGGATCTTACTTAGATAATACAGGGATATTGATTTATTAGGTTTTTCTGAAAACCAAGTTGCATGCTATCTGTTACAATGAAATGAAATGTTCCCATCTCTCTATTCTGCATATGACAGTGAACGTTATCTCTGGCTCCTATTAAATCAAAGTTCTTTGACATTGCTTTATTGATTGCAAGACAGCATTTTGCACTGAAATTAAACTGTGATCAGATTCCTTCCTCATGGAATTAAATTTGAAGATCATTCTACCATGGAAAAGTATCACCCACAATGTAAGACAGCAGATGGAGACACTCCAATTTATTTGGGAACCCTCATTAACCATTTGAAAATCATTATCTTTTTAATGGTTATGATATTTTACATACGGTATCAATAGAAGTACAAATTAAGTAAAGGTGACTGAAACATTATCCTTTTACATACTTTACTATATGGAGTGTTGAGCAAGAGTTTTTCATTTGTTTGAGGGGTACCGAGCTGGAACGTACACACGAAATACAACGTTACATACACGCATCTGTACCCAAATGTAGATACAAGCACTCCTTTGAACCTGTGTTTTCATAGCCCTTGACTGATCCCATGTGTCCTTTCTACATATTCCAATGCTCTATTCTAAATATTATTTAACGAGTGCCTGACTCTTTGCTCTTGCAAAGCAGAAAGGAGACTCCTGTTGCAGTCAGTAGAGATTTACCGCCGTAAAATGCAAGACCAGAACTGCACTCGTTCTGCAGATCTTCGTTTGAAGGGCGCAGCCTGCCCAGGACGCCGCAGAGCCCTTCACCGCAGCAACACGTGCACTGCAGTAAAGGACAGCAGGAGGAGAAACACCATCTCATCCAGCCACCCGACAGAGACTTACAATTCAGGCTATCTATAAATATACGGTCTTTGCGTGTTTTGATTAATTTGCATCTGGTGCGTTCGCACGGATTAAGCTGTCCTGTAAAATAAGACCAACCAATGGAAATACCATCTTTATCCCTCGGTTTGTAACTGCTCACATGTAACCACCCTCTGGATACTTGACATGAACAGTCCTGAAAGGAAATGAAACAAAAGCCACAGAAAATTCCTTACAGCAGAACTGCTGGTCAGTGCTCAACAGTTAATATTCACAAGCTGATCTGCCCCACTTTCTCCCCAGCCTCTTTTTTTTTTTTTTTTTTTTTAAAATATCGTCAAGGTTTTACCATGACTTAATCCTGTCTCTAGTGGGTCACATAACAGAATTATTCCATAACTCAGGGATGTTTATGTCACCCCCGTATGCCCATGCTGATGGATTCCATCACACGCTATTTCATGTTTTTACTGTATCTTTGCTGAGTGCTGCTACGAGCCATTTACCAATTCATAAGTGAAGTATCACATTGTTTTGGAGGGCTGCAGGATGACAGAACAAATTATAGAGAAGACTTAATTTGTGTTATGGTTCAATATCGTCAATTAAATATAGCACAGATTAGAAAGTAATTCAACATTTAAGCTTCAGTTGTTAAAAAAGTCCACTGTACATACAATCCAAATTATTATAGGTCTCCTGTGACTTTAGTCACTGTGGCAAATGTCAAGGATTTTAAATGGAAGCCCAGATAAACTCTCAACCCAGGTAACTAAGAAAATGCACGAGTCCTCCTTTTTAGGCTAGACATGATGTCACCACTCTATTTTATTCATACACCAGGAAGTTTTTTCCTGGTGTTAAAGTCCAAAACACCCACCTCCACCAAGGCTGCTGTCTTCCCTCTTCCCCTTAAGTTTACTCCGGCCTCTCCCACCAGCCATTATTTTCTCTCCTTTTCTCCATTCTATCTCCTGCTTCTCCTCTTCCCCCAGGTTGCTCCCTGTACATCACATTGAATTGATTTAGCTGCCTCTGAGATCTGTAGCATTTCTAATTTCCCTCAGGCTGCTTGGCACCTATCATAAATTTTTTCACCCCTTATCCTCATCTTGCCCCTTTATTTCCATGCTGTAGCCTCCAGTGCCACTAAATCAATTAAGTCAATCAATTAAGTACTTGGAGGGTCCAGCAATCATGTCAAATATGTGAGTTAGATGGCATGAGAAAGTCACTGCTTTACTATCACTATTTCTCTTTTAATGAGGTTGTCTATTTAGTGGAGCCTGGGGCACAGTGGTAAGAGCCACAACAAAAAATACCCTGCGAAGCCGCCTGTAGAAGCTGCCCCACCAAACGCAGGAAGCATGTACCATACAATACTGTATCTACAAGAACAAGTTTCACAGGGATGTAAGTTGCACAGCCTTTCACCCTGAACCACCGAAGGGTGAGCCCACTCTCAGGCAGCTGCTACCAGCCGATGGCTCCGCGGTTCTACATTCCACGCTATCGACACGGGGGTGTGGGTGACAGCCTGGCCCGAGCATCCCCTGCACTTCCATTCCTGTCCCTTGACTTCCATCGCATTTGAGTAAGCAGTAATATATTCTGCGTGTCACAAAAATCTCCCCAAACATCAAAGTTACCCACCAAACTGCAAAATCCTGAATGGACTCATAATAAAATAACTTTATGAACTATAGTTTTAGTCACGCCACTCTCTACACGCAAGTCCCCCATACACCAACTCATGCTGTGAAAGCTCAGCAGCACTCGAGGAAATCAGACCCCATGTGTTTAGGAAGACTACCGAACAGATCTTAGAACCTGACTGTAACATGGAAAATTACAGCAGTGCCTTAACGAGAAGCTTAGCAAGCCAGAAGTGCAACAGCACGCTGACCGTTCTTTACTGCAACACATTAAGTGAAAACAATGAACTGTAAAACATGTGAGTGGTTCCGAGATGAATTTGGTCCCATGGCAAGAAACACGGGAGCGGTACAGACGCGCGGCCAGCTCCTCCGCTACAGCCAGGAGGCTGCTGCGTTCGTTAGCGGTGCTCAAGACGCACACGCTACGGCACTCTGCCAAATATTCTTCATGGCCACTTCCTTACAATTCCCGTTTGGTCGAGCGGAGATTTGCAGGGATCACGGGGACAACAGCTGGTCACAAGCGTTTCTCTAATTGCCTACGTTTGTGCTGCAATGCTTCCCAGCTGTTCCGTTAAAAAGCACATAGTAGAGGTGCTCTGGAGCTGCTCATCTCCACCATCACCCCCCCAGTCCAAACGCATGCTTAGGGAGCAGATGTGAAACACCTAAACTCTCTACAGCTGCAGATTCAAACCGCAGACCTGTCCAGTTTTACAGCTTTCAGACAAGGATGGAAAGCAGTCCCCTGCATGTAGACAACTAAAAAAAACCCCACCCAAACCCCCAAAAACCTCTTGCTAGCACAGAGTTTTTCCTGGTACCCATCAATGGCATATGGATACCTGGTAAGCAGTAAGTCCACTTCCTTTCTGCCCAGAGACAAGCGCGTTTCAGTGGGACTCTGTATAGACAACTTGGGGAAAAAGTCAACGATCTCAAATGCCAGTGAAATGGAAAATGAATCAGTAAATTGTATTTGCACCACAAACTTTTTTGTCTTGTTTTCTGGAACTTAGTGTTTAGGCGGCAGATGGGGTGTCAAGGCACCAGCCTACCAAGACACGCGGGGAACGAGCAGATGGGGGAAATGCGGCAAGCCTTC